TTCCAGTTGCATTTTATTAAGAAACTCAGTTAATTATATCAGAATAGATTTAAATATTTTGTTAGTAAATATGTTCAATTTAACATGAAGCCAATAATTTTTAAAATGTATGTCCCTATATAATAAAAAATGCATAATTATATATATGGAAGTGATTGTTATCATAAAAATATACTTATCACCTGTTTCTTTGCTCTTCCATACTGAGTACTATAATTTGGATCATATAATCACTGGGTATATGAAACTTGCATTTGGCCTTACCAAACATTAGTTGAAATGAAACTGTGCCTGAAATAACTGGCTCAGTCACAAATAGGAATATGGACTGGCAAAGTGATTTTTCAGGTTAAATAAGATTCGAAACCCTACTTCCCTTTTCTTCTTCTCCAAGAATTTCTATAATATCTAAAATACATCCCTTCATGCCCTAATAAATTTATTATTTTAATCATTTTTTTTTTTTTTTTCAGGGAGAAGGATGTCTGTGCTTCATTTCACTGTGTTCTCTCATTTCAATGTGTTGGGTCCTGTCAGTGAGGGAGATTTAGGGTTCTTGCCTTTATGATTCACTTGAGTAAATGAGTAGTAATATCTTAATTTTATATTAAGGTATTGATAAACTTAATAGCCTCAACAGCTGGAGGAAAATTTACTTCTCTTGATTTCAGTACTGGACTGAGAGATCAAATAAGAATATATTATAAAAATGCTCTGCTTACATTTGCCATTAGGCATAAGAACTATTAATGTCTCCTCCTTGTTGTTATTGCTGTTGAAAGCCATATTTCAGGATACCACCCTGATATATGGATATGGATAGCTAAGTCAATTAATACAGGTTTTCACTATATGGTTACATGAAATGTTTGTGACAAGGACACTTTTTTAATGAGTTTACTGAAACTTTGTGTGCCTGCTACTCCTTATTTATATTAGAATCTAGTAAAGGCAATATATATTAGCACAGAATTTAAGTGTTTACCTTTTATTGCCTGATATATCTTCTTGCTCTGCAGAGAAAATAACTCTTCTGGTTTTTCCTCCATTTAGGTAATCACTAAGTGTAGGAAATTGGTTTTGTCCACAAGACAGAAACGTATTTGAATATTAGTAACACAGAGAATGTAATTCAAGGTTAGATTTTGTTGCACCATTTGAGGTTATGTAGTTGGTTGTTTTAGTGATAATGAGATGGGCTGAATCCTAGACAGTAAAAGGAGTCAAGTTTTCCCTCAAAGAATACTGTTTGCCTCCTAATATATTAGGCTCTCAAATGCACGTCAATCCAGTGACCAAAAGAAAACAAAGCAAAGAAAACAAAATAAAAACTAATTTGCCAATTTTTTTACATTTCCCCTTTTTGTTTTGGGACTTGGGGAATTTTCAAGCAATATGTGATTCTGTACCCTCTGTAGTTTCTCTTTCATCACAATTCTGACTACTTAAATATCACCTGCATTTTCAGTCTTGCCCATTCCAAGGAAAAATCTTAACTTCAGTAGGAACAATTTCAAGAACTCAAAACAGTTAGTAAGCATAAAATAATAATATGACTTATGGAGCAAGAATTATGCTGGTGGCTCTATATATTCTCAAGCCTCACATGGACACTACACATACAATATCATTTCCCCCAAATGCACACATAAAGAAAATTTTCCTTAATTATCCATTATGTGCATTTGAAAACATTGAAAAAACATCAAAGCACAAAATAGGGATATATTTCATACAACAATGTATGAGGATGGATGTCTATGGCATAGTCTTTAAGGGATAAGGTGTACCTTCAAATTTTACTTTGTAGATTTAATTTAATTTTTTTATTAAATAAGATATTATAATTTAGTAGAAAACAAAAAAAAAGTTATAAAGAAAGGTTTCTTCTATGTCACTTCTATCATATCCCAATTTCCCAAACTTCTTATTACTCACTACTATAGAATGATGAAATGCTAAGCCACTTATCTTGCTCTGTTTGTACAACAAACATGTTTTATTCTATAGAGTAAAATAAAGTTACTTATACCAGAGACTCCTATACTTCTTTGATGATTTCGAGCCAGTGTTTATTCCTGATCTTCACTTTTTGAACCTGATCTTAATTCATTGGTAACTTAAATGTCAGTGTTTACAAAGCACTATGAATTTCGGCCAGAGTGGTTTCCTACCCTTGATGCTGAGTGTACAGTACGGCTTGTATTTGGCTAGTTTTACATCACCATGTTGACCAAATTATTCTCATACAAAGAGGATTAGCATCTTATTATTTAGGGCTGTTTGGTACAGACTTTTTCCCATCATACCAAAAATGATTGGACTCTCAGAATTCTGTGGTCTCAACAACATAAATGAAATAATAGAAAACAAAAGCAAACTCAAGAGAGGATATCCCCTTGGTGATTAAAAAATTATTTAAGCAGATATTTGTTTTCATCTGTATTTTATACATTGGATATTATATATATATATAAGCACTGAAGATAAAATTACTACTTGAAAGCATTGTAGGTATAGTCACTTGCTTTTTACCTTGGCCTAGAGTAAGGCTGTCTACAGCAGGCTTTGCTTCAATAAGAAATGTTATTGAGGGCTTGCTGATTTTGTACTCTAATGTGACACCAATATAGTCATGTTTGATCTTCCACTGTTTTGTGGAAATTTGCATTACAAATTTTAATTGATAATTATTCCTGGTCAATTATTGGTGATGTCAGAAAAGATTTCTTGATTAACCAATAACAATGGTATGAAGAATGGACAACTCAAAGTGACCCATAATCTTATTGACATTGATTTGTCAGCCAAGAAACAGACTTTGATCATAAAATGGTAGATCCCTTAGCCTTTCTGATATTTTACAATTAAAAATAGTTATGCACTTCTTATTCATTTGGAAGAACAGCCTTTCATGATGAATGACATAATATAAAAAAAGAATTTGGAGAAAAATCACCATTCATTTTTTATGTAATTCTAACTTATTTGTTTGAAAAGCTAAGGCATAAATCAAATACATATTTTTTAGAGCATGCTATTTTTTCATTTTGCACTTAAAATTCATATATTTTATAGTTTCTATTTGTATGTAAATCATAGGGCTTATTAACAGTTTTTTTCTTTGCTGTTCTCACAAACGTGATTGACAGTAGTTTAGCGCCCTTGAGTAACCTAGCAACAAGGTGTCTTACTCTATAGCAAGTAAGAAATGGATGCAAACAAAGTGTTATGGGAAAAAAAAAAAAGAGTTCAATTTTAGAATATTTGTGCATGTATACTATTAAAAATCACGATGAAATCTAATTTGGGTGAAATTGGTTGACAATAGGTATTGAATTTCCTAGTAAATAATATATTGCCAGTGAAATCTTGTCTCCTTCATTCAGGAAAAAAAAAAAAAAAAAAAAAAAAGGTCTATTTCAGACTGTAGCACCGTTGACTAGGTTACTGAATATACGTCTTCCCTAGCAGCCTATTCATTATAGATTAGATGAGGAGAGTGTCTGGGCATGTTTTCACTATGTGGTAGATGAGTTTACTAGATGGAATTTCAACAGTAAACCTTCCTGACAGTGATGCATTTGCTAATCCCTTAAATAGTTTTAGAATAAATGTTTTATCTTATTTTCAAGGGGTTGTGCTGCACTTTTGGGGGGTCAATTTCTTGGAAATACCACAAAAGATTCCACCTTGTGTTTTACATGTTAAGAAGCTGATATATTCTTTTTTTGGTGAAATTTAACTTCTATAATTGCTATTTATTTTCAATGAGAAAATAACTCTTTTGTGTTTTAATTGTAAGGTCATAATGGAAGTGTATCAGGTATTGGGAGAAAGCTACAACTTCACAGGATCATTATATAATGAATAGACTCAGGTGGGAGGGGAAACACATACTGGTTTCCGTTAAATAGCACAGCTTTTATTTTGTGCCAAAGGCAGAATTACCTGGCCTTTCTCAACTTGACAGGTAGTTCACTGCACTTCAAGAAATCTTAGAGCCTTATGAAAAATTGAAGTAAGGGACAGCAGGATGGGATATGAGCTGGACATATGATTGTGCATTTAAAATGAATGCATAGAATTGTAAAACTAGAAAGCATCCACTCTCTAGTAGAGATCCCCCCAGATAACCCAAGTTTTGGTTATTTTTAAAATCTAACCTTAAATGACTCGGATTTTGGCTGTAATCACAGCTGGGTGTGAGCTCAACATCAATATCTTCCTCTCACTATCCTCCCAAATCTCTCTTCCCTAGGGAAGACCAGAACTAAACTCATGATATCCTTAAGGAGAGGGACAAATATTCTCACCTAAATAGTCTGATTTTATCTGTATGTGAAAAGTTTGGTCACTTACATGATTTGGTTTGAAGTGAATCACTGTAAATAAATGAAAGGATATCCTTTACATGAGAAAGAGTTCCCTGTCCTTGAAGATATCTAGCTACAATTGGATAACCAGTTGCATAGAATTCATACCCCAAATGTCATTATAGAATAATTGGTCTACATGTGATGATGCTACTAGTAACAGCTATAGTCAATGGCTAATTATTCAGGAAAATGACATTTCAGATGTGGCATATGCACATTAACTTCCCCTTCCAGCATAGATGTCTCAGTGGGGTCATACTCTTGAAAAAATATCTTCATTTTGGGAAGTTGAGTTCCTAGAGGGCAGGGATGATCTTATTTGTGATTTTATCCAGTATCTACTATAGTACTCTATACAGTGTAAGCTTGAGACAAATGATTAATCTTTTTCTTTACAATTAGAGTTTGTGTGTATGTTAGAAAGATCTGTAACAACCACTGAAATTATACTAAAATAACCTAAACTACATAATATGTGTTAAAAAGGGACAAAATTATATAATACATGCCCTTAGAAGAGGAAATAAAGTTTAAAATTCAACTATAGACAGAACTTAATTACCATAAAATTACTGTTAAATTGTGAAGTTGATCTAAAAAGAGCTGTGCTTGTTATTGCAGGTTTGGTTACAGAAGTACGGCTACCTTCCACCGACTGACCCCAGAATGTCGGTGCTGCGCTCTGCAGAGACCATGCAGTCTGCCTTAGCTGCGATGCAGCAGTTCTACGGCATTAACATGACAGGAAAAGTGGACCGAAACACAATTGAGTAAGTAACGGCATCTGCACTCTTTTTTTCTCAGCTCTTGAGCCAAACTAAGTGGTCTGAAAAACCCTTAGTGAACACCACCAACCACAAATGGAATGATTTTTCTCATGAACGTTTCTTTGGAACTTAACCTATGTTAACTACACTCCCCTGAGATTTCATAAAAAATTAAAACACAAAATTAAGTTTATTCACCTGGATTTTAGCAATACATTTTCAAAATAGGAAAGAAAATACCAACAGTGGGAGTCAAAGTAGATGTACAGCTGAAGCCACTACTAGAAGAGTGGTGATCAGTGATGTGCTGGAGCTGGATTGTATGGCTGGAGGGAGTAGTGTGTGCACATCTCTTTCCCTAAATGATATTACAGCAGTAGCTTGAAATTGGCCAAAGTCAAAATATTGAAACCGAGGAAAATAAGAAACTGCAAACCAGGGCTCTGTTTTTGAGGGGGAGGGAATCAGAGAGCCAGTTAATAGCTTACTAGCTTTCTGCTAGTGACAATTCTCATACTAGTTAAATCAAGGGAAGAGTTTTCACTGAAAAGTCTGTGCTTTCAATCTTTTAGTAACAAAGGACTTATTTCTACTCTTTAATAATATTTGTTATCTTATTTATTGTTTTATCAATCATTTGTTCATTTATTTATTCAACCAGTCACTCTTTACTGGGCATTTTATCTGTGAAAGAAGCATATACAGATCCAAAAGACATAATCTTTTCTTCAAAGGAACTTCAAGTTAACTGTATAGCTAGACACAGTCATACATTGTTTTACCACAAGTACACTATGAAACAACATTATTGTTTCTAGACAACAAAGGAGGAAATGATTAATTCTTTTAGTGCAGGGAAGAATTATTTGTGTTCATTGAGTCTTTGATACTCAAAAGTAAATCTACTTCAGCATTTATAATGATCAACACACATTAAATCTATACAATAGGGAAGATAAGAATTCATTTTTCTCTCTACTTTTTCAAGTAGAAAACTGAAAGTCAAAGGCTAATTGAAGTCCAGATTAGCTTCAGAGTCCAGATTTTTTGACATTTACTTGGGGAAGTTTCCACTATGCCATGCTGTGTACCTTTGAGAAATGACACATTTTTCTTAAATACCTGAAGTGCCCGGATTCAGGTGTATATAATTAATTCTTACATGTTAAACTAATTTAATATATAATTTTAAAATTCTATTTTGCCTTCTAATACTTAAAGTATGATGTTAGTCATACTATTTCTATTTCATCAAAACAGAAAAAACATATAACAATGGCTTGAAGATTAAACAGTTTTTAAGCAGTTTGAAAAACTAAATTGGGATACGGAGGGTGGGAGGGAGGGAGATGAAAGAGGGAAGAGATATGGGGACATATGTATATGTATAACTGATTCACTTTGTTGTAAAGCAGAAACTAACACACCATTGTAAAGTAATTATACTCCAATAAAGATGTTAAAAAATAAATAAATAAATACATTACCTCTCCTAACATTTTTCATAGATACTTAAATATTGAATTTGATTTGAGTCTGTGAAAACAGAATGAAGAATTAATATAATGCATTCTGTGAGAATGAGAAACCTGTTATTAATATTGGGAATACAATTTTGATATTTTGGATCTACTGCCCTGTAATCATCACAGTTCTCTCTTAATAGTATACTATCAAAAGTTCATTTTAAGTCATAAGATACCTCTTATCCAAAATAAATATAGTGTTAAATTAACAAGCAAAATCTCCAGCAAGCCCTGTGTTTCATTGCTGTGTACAATACAGAACTCCATTTATATTACACTCTTTATCCCAACAATTTAAAAAGCGCTCTGGACAAGCTTTCTCGTTCCCTAACGCAGAGCTGATACCTTCTAATTCACTTTTTTGGAAATTATGACACAGTTTTTAAAAATACAATAAATGGTGACTTGGGAAACAAATTATTTTAAATATGCTTATTACTAGATACTAAAATTGAGAGAGTGGAGTCCTATAAAAGGTGTCATTTGTGTTTCCCCCCACTTTTTTTTTTCCCTTTTTTTCCCCCCCCACTTTTGAAAGCCCCTGTTAATCATTGAAAAGACTCAGGATGGATAAGTTTGATTCCCTAAAATAGCTAGAAAAAGGTCTTTGTCAGGACATAATGGAAGAGGAATGTGTGCAGGATTTATTTGGACCCTTCATGTGAAAAGGGGTCTGAACAGCAATATGAAGTAAAAAATGCAGAGGTGCAGAGAAAGACACAGGCCTTTTCCTGGCATACAGTTGCTCAGATTACAGACCAAAAGAAAGGAATGTGTCAGTGTGTAGGTGTTAAAGTAACATTTCTGTGAGCTATAGCATTATAAAGAAAAGATCAACTAAATAAGCAGTCTTAAGTTTAAAACCAACCAGTTTTTCTGCTTGCTTTTTTTTTTTTCTTTAAAAGAGTTTTGTTCTAACTCAGTTATTTTGAAATTAAAAATGCATCTTTCTCTTTAAAGAGAGTGTTACACTTGGTAGTTATTTCTAGGTGAACCCATTAAAGCTTTGTTGAACCCTCATCCTTTCCCTTCCTAGACTGTGATGCCTCCTCTGTCCTCTGTGTCATTCTCATTGTCACTCATACTAGAAACCCTGCTTCATACTAGAAGCAGCTTCATTTGCTTCCTGTCTGTTTTCTCCACTTATGTATCCCCAGTCTTGGGGTATTGTTGCTCAGGGTACTCAGCTCAAATTATGTACCATTTTTGTAAGTATAATCCCTATAATCATGCTACTTAAGCAATTTTCTGTGCTCCTGTAATATTAAATGAATGTGTGGTAACAATCCATGCTGAAATTGCATTCTATTATTTTACATAGTCAAATTATAATGTATGAATTTTTTCATCTAAGTCTTATTACATAAGATATGTAGTAAAATTAGAGACCTAGAATTATTCATCAGTATTAAAATAATGTCTTAGGATTCATTCTTTCATTATGGCACTTAAATGCCATAAACATTTATCTAATTTTAGAGTCTTGTTGAAATCAATTGCTTTTAAATTAAGTAATTATATTCTTTTTTGGCAGACAGACGTTTGGTGGATTCAATCTATAATTCTTGGTTAATGAAAAGTAATGATGCCAATTATAATAATCCCTATATTACATTGAAGAAATTAACCATTTTCAAGCAACAAATCTGGTTATTACCTTAAGTGGCATATTATATAGTTTTTGAATTAAGTAACATTGGTATTGGAGAGATAGTAGTGGTAAATACTTATACCATCCCCACCCAAAATGAGCTAATTATCATATGTTGCAATGGTTCTTTTAAATTATTGGTTACTTAGCTAATTTTAGTAAGCAAGCTCACTTAAATTCCTTAATAAGTGAATTAATCTATGTTATGCATAAAAATGCAGTGTTTTGCAAGGACGGAAAAGGATAGCAAGGCAATAATAAGAATGAGTCTAATATGTTTTTATAATATTAATAGTAAGTATTTTAAACTTTTAGTTTATCTTTTCATGTGTGCACAGTGTTATGCCCTGAAGCATACTTGATGGGATTTGTAAGGTGATCTTTCTTTCTGTTTTTATCTCTCTCTCTTTCTTTCTCTCTCTCCATATATATATATATATCTATATATGCATATGTGTGTGTGTATACACATACAAACATATATACATTTATACATATATACTGGATGATCTTAGTAATTCTGTTTAATTTATTTAAATCCTGCCCAGAAATTTGTCTTAATTAAAAATTATTTTAAGACTGAATAAGTAGCTTTATTCAAAGAATTATTATGAAACTGTAGTGATATTTGAACCCCTGATTTTGGAATTCAAGTATTTATTTAGACATATCAAGAAATACAAGCTTTTTGGTTTACTTATCCAGATGTTCCATGATTTTTTTTCTTTTGTCTAAATTATCAAGTTAAGACTTTTCATTTTCAATTTGGATATAAAAGATAGATCCATCAGTAATTAAAGATTTTTCTTTGTTATTTTTTAACATAACAATGGTACTCAAAGCTATAACATTATAGCATGGGTCAATCCACATTTTGGTAGCTGCAGAGGGTTGGTTAACAGCTAAAGGAGCAGGGTCCTTAGAGCCCCATTCCAAAAGGTAAAAGGTGAGAGGTGAAAGCTTAAGAAAGAGGTGACACTCTAACAGAGCTTTTGTTCACATTGCAGATCATGGAGGCTTAATACACTTATTCTCTGTGCTTGGGTTAAGTACTTTAACTTTGCAGTTTCAGCTTTGGGAATAACATGTGGGTCCAAGCAGGCTGCTAATGAGTTGATAGAAAAAAGAAACTCTGGACCAGAGTGAGCTATCAGCCTATCTACATTTTGAGCCCTAAGTTAATTTTCTTTTGAAAAATCTTCTTCATTATTATTGAACTTGTATACAAGCAAAGCCTAAGGATTTTTAATGTAATAAATATAAGCATATTTAAAAATTTCTAGAAAGATTTCTTGGGACAACTATAATCATAAGTATTACTCTTACCTTTCATTAGAACTTGGAAAAGTTTGGAGGATAGAAACCTGTTTAATATATTATGTTGATGAATATTTTTCTAAGATTACTAATGCCTAAGGCACAAAATATATATTTTTGAGTATTTTTTCCCTTAGTAAAGGTAGATATATGTACATAGGTCCACTGTGTGGCACAGCCCCAACCCCAAAGCCAAAGAGTGGTATTCCCATCTTATTCTATTGAGGAGCTGCCTTCCTGCAGCCCCACTATAGGGGCATCGGGAGCATGGACTACAACTTGAAGGAACCTCTTGTAGTCATGAAATGGGTAGCCCTATATGTTTGACATGAATGCCCAGCTAATTAATTTCTTTTTTAACTGAAGCTAAAGGATACTGTTTCCTAAATGGTGGCTTTTAACATTACTGTAAACTTGCTTAGAAAATTATGGCTACTTTATTTACATAAAACAGAAGATAATGTGTGTGTTGGCATATTTGTTATCAAACTACTAAGAATATCCCTGTC